CTTTGCAATATTGACATTCATCACTCGGTTGTACTCATTTCCATCCAAGGCACTAAGAAGAATACTTGTGGCTTGGCCATTGAGATGGACAGCAGCTAGCTCTTCATTTGTTGGTGCTTCGGGATCTTCCGGTGGCTGCAATCCATTCACCACAATCTCCTAAAGACCGGGGTGAAGACCTATAAGATAGGCACTCATCAAGTGCTTCCACTTGGCAAAGTTTGTCCCATCAAAATGAGGCAACTTGCCCGCGGGCACATTGACAAAAGACCTTTTGTTATGGTTAGACAAATAAGAATAATTAAAGGATACGGCGGCATATTTGTTCTTGTTGTTGTTGCTGCCCTTGTCCTTGCTATCCTTCTTTTTGTCCTTGCTCTTCACCTCCTTGCTATCTTTTGAAGCATGGTATGACACATTATCATCTCCATCGTCCGAGCTACTAGAGAGCTCACTAGATGATGCATCATACTCATTCTTCTCTTGCTCTTGAGCTCTTGCTGCCCTTCTCTTAGCTCTTGCCTCTCTTGTGATTCTTCTAGCTTCTTTTCTCTTTTTCTTGTCTTTGAGCCGCTGCTCTTCTTTCATCTTTTCTCTAGCTTCTATTGTTGCAATCTTTGCGGCTTTTCTTTCTTTTCTTGCCTTTCTTCTTTCGGCATCGGTGGTCTTGGGTTCTTTGATGGTGGCATCACTTGTTGTGGACATGGACAGCTCGCTGCTGCTGCCGACATCCTCAACATGCACACCACTTGCGTCCGTAACGCGAACGTTCTTCGAACCTTCTCCTTCCATACTTCACGCGGTGAAGCGTATACGAAGCAACCTCGCTCTGATACCACTTGTAGGATCTACAGGAAGATAAAGAAGGCCTAGAGGGGGTGAATAGGCCTGTAAAAATTCAACTCAAAACTCTGTTAGAATAGAGGGTGGCACTGCCGGCCTTATAGGGCGACACTGCCGCTCTACGAAAATAAATCTAACACAGTTGAGATTTTACAGAGATGAGCCTGACCCCACTAGTTGCTTAATCCTGCAATATAAAGCTAAGATCCAGTTCGAAGACTGGATACCACAGAAACTTCACACAACAGTGAATCGAGCAACTAAACCCTAGCAACAGCTAGCAATAAGGTAAACAGCAAGTCTAGTAAAGATGAAGCACATGAGACACAAGATTTATCCCATGGTTCAGCTCACCACTAAGGTTTGCCTAAGTCCACATTGTTGAGGAAGCCACAAAAGGCTTGAGCTTGCCACCAATGCTTGTCTTACCCTCGTTCTCAAATCAAGAGAGTGAACTCTTGAAGTGAGGGGTGATTTCTTAGCTTTCAAATGAGGTTACAAACCTCCTAAGGCTGCCACACGAGTTGGCAAGCACAAGGGCGACGCCTAGCCGCCTAGGAGCAAGCTCCAAGAGTAACAAACCCTAGAACCGCCGGCCAAACGTGAACCAAATGCTCTTAGACTTTGGGAATCAGTGGATTTTCTCTCCAATCGAGTTTTGCTGCCTTTTCTCTTAAGTTTTGATGGTTGGAATCAAGGATTAGCTTGAGGGATGAAGGAGCAACAATGGAGGAGAGATGTGAGCTTTGGTTCTGTCTAGTTTCGAGCAGAATGACTTAGTGGAGAAGATGACCGTTGTGGGCCGAGCCTAAAGGGTATAAATACCCCTCGAGCCCAACGGTCGGTTAAGGGCGGCATTGCCGCTCTTAACAGGACGGCACTGCCGCCCTAGCCAAAATAGGTAGTTTGATGTGAAATTTGGCTGGTTGTTTTGACTAGGTGGGAAGATGTAGATCTGTGAATTTGAGCATCTAATTCAATAATTGACCAACTGTCCTAAAATCTCTCTTAATAGTACGGCTTTCCCTAAACTCAATTTCAAAATATAAAAGAATTTAAACCTTCTTTGAGCTAGGTCCAGCCACCTTTTGTAATTAGGACACCTGCAACATGTACATCATCCTCATTCTTTGATTCCCTGCTTGTCATCTCGATAAATCTTATTAGTCCTCTAATTTGATGGTCATCAATACCAAAACCCACATTATGGCTTGATTGCACTTATATGTCTTTGAAGAGCCAGTGAACTGACTCTTTATTCTATCAAGGTACTCGGTGATGGTGTCACACTCTGGGATTGAGCCCACAATTGCAGGTTCAATCGTATTCTTTATCACAGCCAAACATTTTTTTGTTGGCAGTGACTCACTTCCTATGCTCAAGATCATTGGACATCTTTTGGGATGCAAAATCCCTTTCTCTTGTTGCCCAAGTGGCATCAGCCTCGTTTGTCTCCCTCACCAGTGCCACAGGCTTAATGGGACACGGTGAGGTGACTACCCAGTCCACCTCAGCCAAGATGAAGGCCAGGTCTATCTTTTTCTTCCACTCCGTGTAGTTATCACCTTTGAGAGTGGGGATCTCTTTGATACAACCCATCAAGTTGTATTCGCCTGAAAACACAATTCATATCAAGCGAGAACATAAATAATAACAATAACAATTGCATGTCTTAGTTCCAACGTTGGTCAAAATTAAAACATACAATTGTCCTCTATACTAATTCTACATCACCGTTGGGCAGAAATAGAATTAATGCATGACAAAACTCATCATAATATTGCCATTAATCAACGTTGGTCAGAATAATAACAATATTATAATCAATTAAAACATATCCATTTTCAAAATTAAATTCTCCCGTTGGTTCGAATTTAATAATGAAAATAACATCTTTAAATACGCAGTGGAAAATAATTCAATTTAGTGAATATTACCCACAGAAAAATTCTCTTTTCTATTTTCTTTAAGCCATTTATTCATTTTCCAGGAAATAAATATTTACTGGAAAAAGAAAAAAAATTGTTGTTCCTTCGGCCCAGCAACGAAAACTGCTCGGCCCGCTTCCTTTGCGCGACGCCTGGCAGCACCCAGGCCGCAACGTGGGCCTGGGCCGGCAAAGCCGCGCGGCCGCGCGCCCCCGCCTGGGCCACAAGTCGGCCCGATCAATCTTGGCGCTCATTCAGATCCAACGGCCGTCCGCGCGAGTCGCTGGATCAAAACGCCGACCGCAGCGGCCCCTTGAAACCCTAGCGGTCATTCTGCACTTTGCTCTCTCTCTCTCTTCATCGCTCTCTCTTCTCTCCTCAGCACAGCAGCACCGAGCGAGCAACCGAGAGCGACAACGGTGGAGCGGGCAGCCATGGCGTCGTCGCTGGCCCCCTCGCCGGCGTGCGCGCTCCCCAGCGGGTGAGCGCGCCGCCGTCGAGCGGCCTGGCCGCGGCGCCTCTTTGGCCGGAGCCCGGCGAGCAACGCCCCTGGCTCGGCCTTCTTCTCCCCGCGCACCGGCGAGACAGCAGCGCTGCGCAGCGACGAGGTAGGTCTCCCCTTCCCCAACATCGATCTCTTTGATTTGCTTCTCTTTTTCTGTTCTCGGATTCAACCGATTGGGGATGGGGATCGAAGTTAGGGTTAGGCTTTCACTGTTGTTCTTTTTTCCGAATTGATTGCGGGTTTTAGGGTTCGGTTTAGACGTGAAACCGAGCCCTCCTTCTTTCTTTCACCCAGTTAGGGTTAGGGTTCAATCGAACCCTCTGTTCTGGTTAGACCCGCACTGGATCTAACCTTTTACTTCCTTTTCTAATCGGTTTAACCGTTCTAGATCTAAAAACCCTAGAAACCGATGGCTCCGGTACCATTGTTAGTGTCTGGATCGTACTAGGGGTTAGATCCGAGGGGCTACTTGCTGTTGAAAAGAATCACGAGCCCTAGTACATCTACTATTGCAACGAGAGACATAGAGGGGTGGAGTAGAAGATGGACGTGTCAAACTGACACCGTAGTGGAAGATCCGCTTGCGTCCGCCATGGAGTCAATCTGCGCTAGGGCAGCGATGGTCGGGGAAGAGGACTCCGGTGATGTGTAGTGGCGACCGGCGGTGAAGGCAGTGAAGTCCGGTGACGCAGTCTGGAGGCGGCGCGGCCGGTGGCTTTTCGTCACTAGCTGCGCCCCTCTCTGATCGGATTAGGGTTTAGATGTCGGTGGGGAGCTCGGCTCAGGTGTGGGGAGCTCGGCTCAGGTCAACCTCGTGATAAGGGCCGCCGGTCCCCACCTCTTTTTATAGCGCAGGGTGACAGGAGCCCTCTAGCCATGGTGGGTTGGACGCCTCCGATTAGGGCGCGAATAAAAGGCCCAACTGGACCGTTGGGTCCAGTTAGAATTAGAGATCAATCTAACATTTTGGACCCAAGGAAAGGAGCATTTGCGGTGCTAGCAAGGGATAAAGCGATGAACAGTGCATAGAAAACTCGGGATTGGACCTTAAAAAAAATTCTGGATTGTATGAATTTGCACAAAAAATCCCACCCTAAACATTAACCAAATGTTCTTTTTGTGGCGGATGATTTCAACGAACCATGTGAGCTATATGTTTCTTTAGATATTTCTATATCGACTCCAAACCCAATGCCTTTATATACGTATTAAACTCTCAAATTACCAAAACGAATGGTACGTCAATATGCTTCCGGCTTGATAGTGGGTAGTGTTTAAGTGCTTTTTGGAATTATCTCTTCACTTGAAACAACCACTGTATTCTTAAGCATTATTATTATATTATAATTATTATTATACACACGTCTAGATCTTTTAGTACATGGTAAGATTCTTATTTCCTTAAATTATAATTGTTGATCGAGATTTTATAGAAAACAATAACCATATCAATCTCATCTATGTATCAAATACCTACAAGTGTCACACAAGATAACATCTCAATGACAAGAGATTTTTTTTTTCTCTGCGTTGCAACGCACGAGCATATTTCCTAGTAAATAATAATACATGACTTTGTACAAACAGACAACAAAAAATGAAAAGAACAAAAAAGGAATATTGCACACCACATACAGGTATCCGGTTTTTCGTTTCCAAAATACATATATTAGCTAATAGCCTAAGGAATGCCGAGCCTAGGATACCCGCGGCAGGAGTGGAGCTTAGCCACTTGGAGTGGGTATCAACGCCAGCATTTGGTTCTTGATGATGCCCATGCACATTTCGATGTCTCTGAAGATCGGGATGTTCTGGGAGCTGCACGTTTGTACGCCTGACAGTGCTGAATCGAGGATGTGGGCGACTTCAGCAGGGTGATACTGCTTATCCGTGCAGTTCTGGTGAATGCAACAGATGGAAGCTTTAGACCACTAAGCACAAAGGGGGTTGGAATGTAAGTGTAAATAACATGTGGAGCTTGGATGATTAACCTTTATCATAAGCATCATAGCTACGCAGGATGATATCAACTCTTTGGGAAATTGAGCTTCCGAATCACAGCCGTTCGGCAACTTTGAACTGCTGTTTGCTGCAGGGGCAGTTGTGCAATTATCATGATAAGATGCATTTGACTGTCCTGATTCAGGAGGTATCCGTCTTATGCCAAGTATACTTAAACCAGAGCCAGTACCGTGGCTATTCAAGTGATCTAGTGCTTCCCCTATTTTTGCAAAAGCATTCTCCCCTTCACTCACTTTGCACATAGCCTGGTAAAGGGGGAAAATCACAACAAGTGCATTTAAACAAAATAAGTTTAAAATGTGAGGAAGGGAAGAAAATTCTTAGATGTAAGTAGCACCAAAAATGGATCCATAGAATAAAATAGGTAATGCTTCAACCAAACAGAGAAATTCTAAAACTATATGAACCCTCTAATCAGACAATAGACATAACAAACAAGAGTTTGACACATGGAAGCTGGCCCCAACAAGCTGACAGTGCATCTCAAAAGGAAATGTCCAATTTGAAGTCATAACAAGTTCATGATTAACTTTAAGAAAATTCAAACAGAACTGATTGGGTAAAAAGGGTCCAAGGTTCTATTACTTCGATCATGAACTCAGCATTTAGTATTTATTAGACAGGTAATTTATATTCCAGTAAGTAGGAATTGCTGAGTAGTGAGCACTCACTACTGAGTAAGTTTATTGATTTCCTGTCAATTCAAATCTTAAATTCAAAATTTTATTGTTCGCCTCAGAAAGAAACATGGAAAGCAATGCTCATTCAGTTCAAAATGTAGAGACAATAATTCAAATTATATAAATAGATAAGTTAATCAGAACCATGAGGAACCCTAGGTCAGATAGCCTGATATGATACAGAAAAGAATACAAATAATTCTGGCCAACAGACCTGGATAGCAACATCAACCATCATTCTTGCCCTGCACTTTGAAGTCTCGATAACTTCGATCACTTGGGAATCAGACTCTGGATTAATATAACTGAAAAGGTTATACGGATCTGATGCTCCAGCAAGGGCTACGCCATTTTCCATGGATTTAGACTGCCCTGGATTCCCATGATATGTATTATGCTAAGCGAAAAGCAAAGCTGCAGCCACCTGAGTAGGAAAAAGTATAGTATCATTCACCTAAGTAGGTAAAACCAAAGTTATTAAAGTGATACTTGAACTGGGGAAGGTTACTTGATCATTCGAATCTCTTAGCTGCACAAGCACCATAGCGTATTGCTTCCTGAAATGCTCCAAGTCTCTAATAATTTCCCTATCCCTCTGCTTTCCAGACACTTCTTCATTCATGTGCCTCAACTCCACCAGCAAAGCTTCCTACAAAAAGATTCATAGTTCATCGTAAATCACTTGAATAATGTGAAATTTAAATACGTATATATTCAACAAATCATTATAAGAATGGCCAACATGTCTGGTGGCAACATACAAACAGCAGACCAGCAATGATCTTTACAGCAATTACAGTACTCTGTAGCCATATCCTGATCTGGGAACTAAAAGGAACTCATCTTTCATACAGGACGAGTGGATTATCCCCATTTTATACTTTATACTCTCTGAGACTATAAAAAAACTCGACCGGGGGGTTAAGACTGCCCCCGCATCATTTCAAATAAGAAGGACCTTCTCACCCGGCCGAGAAAACCCCCGAACCCCCGCCCCCACCCTTACATGGTGGCTTTCCGTCGCCCAAGTGAGAATTGGGCCGGTGCCCCCCAGTGCTTTGTTTATGGGGACGGACGAGGGGATTTTTTTTTAACCTCAGCCTGAAATTCGCTCCCATGGGAGTCGAACCCAGGACCTGAGGAGTGCCGCTGGGTCACCTAACCGTTTGAGCTAGGCGCCCTTTAGCCCATTTCAACTGTCCACTGTTCATGTCTAGACTACATCTTGACACTAGTCAAGGCCCTCAAGTCAGGCACACGATCAGACCCTCTAGATGACAACTAGTCAAGATTAAGTGCTAGTCATGGTATGAGTTTGTGCTTTGTGCTAAAAGAGTTGTTCTGCTTTTTGCTATGTAAGATAATCTGCTGCATCCTTTGATTGTTTTGCTGCAGGGAGTTGGCATTGAGTCAATTCCTTCCTATCCTTTCCCTCTCCCACCTTACTGGGCACACGATCAGACCGTCTAGATCACAATTAGTCAAGATTAAGTGCTAGTCATGGTATGAGTTTGTGCTTTGTGCTAAAAGAGTAGTTTTGCTATTTGCTATGTAAGATAATCTGCTGCATCCTTTGATTGTTTTGCTGCAGGGAGTTGGCATTGGGTCAATTCCTTCCTATCCTTTCCCTCTCCCACCTTACTGCTGTAGGTATGGCAATAGGCCACTTAGTCATGGCTTACCTCAGCCATGTAGAGTAGTTGGAGGCTGATCTCAGCCCAGGTACTAGTATACCTGGTGTAGTTGGTAAATTCCTATACCCCATATGATGCAATAGAAAGGGGAGTTGCTGCACTTGTGTGTGCTGTGTTCTGTGCTCAACTCCTTCTACCTCTAGCCAAGTGTTGTGTGTCTGTGTGTGAGGGTGAGCTGGTTGCTCACCAGTGCAGGGAGGCCGGTTGCCAACATGCTAGTATTTGCTTATATCAACCAGAAGCTGGAACTTGTTGTAATGGATGAGTGAGAGTGAGAGTTAGTGAGTGAGAGAGTGAGGGAGGGAGGGAAGGAGGGAGAGAGAGAGAGGGATGAAAATAAGGCACAAGCCTTGTTGCACTTGCCTTTTTATCAAGAGCACGTGATAACTCACCAAGAGCTCTTATATCAGCTTCTCTTTCCTGTATCTGCGAAAGTGTGCATGGTTGATTGTACATTGACTGTTGTGTTGCAACTGCAACCTCATTAACTGTCGCTTTGGCCTGTGCAATAGAATAAATTAGAGTCACCCTATTGCACAAATCCCAAAAGGAATGCAGTTAGCTTATTCTACATTGACTATAGAAAGGCAAATAGCTTCCACATCAAACATGCTACCTTGGCTTGCTTCATTAAGGTACTCATCGGATGACCAGAAGGGAAGGTTGCATCTGCACCATTCAAATTCGATGTGGATCTTGCTGCACCTCCGCTAGCCAATTCTTTCATCTGATCCTCATATTTTGCTTCTGATAAGTGGCTGTAATATCCATTGATGATGCTTTGCTGTCTGAGAGATTCAGGAAAATTTTCCAGAGGATGTAGGGGCATGCAGTCAATATCCTGCAAAACAAGTTCATTTCAGTAAACCATATTTGACACGCCAACTCTTTCAAGAGTTTCATCACTGGATTAATATTTGTTATTTATATTTGAGTGAAGCTGAAACATCGTTCATAGAGAGGTAGATAATCTTCCACAAGCATTTCCCTAGTTGTGTTGCAAGATATAGGCATAAAGGAAACGAGTACAACTGTACAAGGAACACAAACAATATATTAGAGGATAATGGACTGCATGGATCACATTGAGGCAAATTATTCCCAACCAAAAAAGGAATGTCATGGTTTAGCATTTGTGGTGGATATTACAGTGCACTTTTCTTCCATCATTTTGGATGCACAATGTATTACTGCCGATGTAGAAAAAATCCTATGCAATAAATTAGATTCCACAATATGCACAGCAACCAAAGAAGACAGTAAAACCAAGGACACTTGGTTGAAGTATACGTGATATAACAAGGGAAACACAAGGAACAAACATACAGAAAATCACTCTCTCAGAGTCTAAGTTCAGAAACATGACATTCATGTGCATTTGTGGGTACAGGTCAGAGGACCAAAGGCAGGCTCTTCTCTGGCGATGTAAACGCTAAAAAGGCTCCAAGGCTAAAAAGGGCCAAAAGAGATGAGACTAGGAACCCTTTTATTCATTCCCAGTGTTCTATAGGCTCTAGGCAAGCAATGGAGCATGTCCAGATAGGACAGTGGAGTTATTACAAGTCATGGTGATATCTGGAGTGGTAATCACAAATAAGCTGAAAGCATTTAAGTCAAAAAACATTAAGTGAAACTCCCAATAAAATGGTCAAAACATAAGTGAGATAGTAGCTGATTACCTTTACAAGCTCAACACCCAGTTCAGGTCGATCAAACTGAACCCGGCACTGATTATGATCGACAGTCAGAACATTCCCATCATGAAGTTCCCTTGTTCTAGGATGGCAGGCTATAACACGCTGCCCAACTGCTAGAGGTCGTGCAAGATCCGTTGGTAGACCTTCTCTAACGCCAGATCGAAGTTCAGTATAATGCTGTCTGACTGAATCACGATACTGAGCAAGCTTCTCTCTCTCTTCGTGCAAAAACTGCTTCGACAATCGACGGGGCTTTCCAAGAGAACTGCAAAAACATTACACTTAGGGGACAAATACAACTAAACCTAACAAAATAGTTGAAGATTACGAACCTTCGTATGACACCCCACTCGACACGAGTCAGTCTTGGAACATGACCTAGCTTGACATGGTTCAAATACTCAACAAATTCACTCTTTGCAAACCACGGGTAATCAATTGCACTATAGAACCACTCAAACATGCACCATCTACGGAGCAAACGTGATGATAAGCAATGAGAGAGTTTGTCCTGCATTAGGTTAGAGTAAAGTAAATGACTTTTCACCCATGCCAAGTAATGAAACACAACGACCAGTACACTAAACAAGATAGAAAGCAATACCTTGAGATCAATAATATTACTTAGTGAGTAAGACAATTTATCACTTCCAGAATCGCCAGCGCCCTCGGCAGGTTTACATTCTTGAGTTAGTGATTTCTGAATGCCTAATTTACGGCGGCTTTTACCCTTTGCCATCAAGTCAGCTTGCGGTATTGTTGCGACTTGTGTAGTTGTCTCTCACGATATCCATGGCTACATTCACAAAATTAGCATGTGCCGTGAGAACATCCCTGTACTCTGAACTTGTTTTGTTTCAAAATTAGACTAATATGAGCATCCTTACTTTTTGTTAGAAGACGCCTTCTCTTCTTCAGGAGAAACCTATAATATACAGATATAACAGGAAAAAATTATGTTGCGTCCCAGCAAGCATAAGGAGGTATGTAGGAGGGTAAAACTTGATCGTGCATGGACGGGTGACAATTTGAGAAAACCAAAGAACTAGAGAGTTATTCAGTGAAGACTAGTACTCCGTACAATACAATGGTGTATAATGAAGTAATGCATTAAAATGTTCTGATATAACCAAAGAACATCCCCTTTTTCTTTCTAATATAATGATATGCAGCTCTCCTGCGTGTTGGAGAAAAGAAACATCGTTTGAGTGTAAACAATATGAAATTGCAACATCAATCAAGTAAATATGGATGGTTTCTCAAGATATCAGGCCTTTACAGCAAAACAACAATATCCAACAGAAAAAGGAAAGGATTATACTTTTTATAAGAATATGAAAATTATGACAAACAGCTGCATAGCAAGAAGCTATGGACAGAACTCTCAAAAGCTTATACTTAGCAGGCTGTCTACAAATCAAAACACATATGTGATCTAGCCTGCACACTTATTCAGCATATGCAACAACAAATGATATTTACACCTTCAGAGCAGATTTGGTATAGCCAAACCAAGCCTTTAAAACTAATAGTCATCCAATCAAACTAAATAGGTTAAGGTTGACTACATCACTAACCACTATAAGAAAAAATATACTCTTGTCCAGATTTAGTTGAGAAATGCATTCCACAAGTTTGTGAGGGTTTGAGAAATGGACGAAATCAGTATATCACCAGCCCATCTCTAGTAAGCACAAGGCTAGGGGGGAGGCTGTCCCATGAAAATTACAGAGTGGTCCTATGATACACAAAAAAATTTAGGAAACTACGATACACAAATTAATTATAGAGCGGTGGTTCTTGAAACAAATAAGCATAAATGCATAAGAATTGAATGCAAAGAGGAAAGAATCAGATCAGTTGGAAAGTTGAAACTGAACCCCCATGAAAAAGTTTATCAGGAGCAATAATGAGAAGACAGCAATAGAAAGGATTAGTTACCTCAGTCTTCTCAACATCTTTTGGCATATTCTTTTCATCTTTCAAAATCTGCACATAGAGTTGAAGTTATGCACACCATAAACGAACTATAGCAAGAAACTAAATAGCGGTGGTAGAAGACGGAACAGCAGTAGTGGTTCAAGGCACTACATATACAATATAGCAGTTTAAAATAGCATTTTGTTGTTTTGTAAGGACCTGTGGCTGTACGGTCAACATCTGTCGGACCTGGCAACCAACATGATTGCGCTATACCAAAGCACTCTCTAGATACCTTGATGTCAGGGACCTTCTGCAAGAGGTGGAGCTTCACTGGCGCCACAGCAGCCCGGGGGAATTTTTGGTGTTTCACAATGGCTTCGAACCAGCAAAGAGACTGCAGAAGTTGTGGGTGCCTGTGTGCTACAAATTCTTCCTGTGGGGGAAAAAATTCTATGCGCTCGTGCCGCAATCCGCCTCCCGTACAGCACCGTCTATACGCCGTCTACTTGTTAATCTTCATGCTAATCTCGATGCATATCCTTCTCGCGTAACCTACTAGCACAGTATTCCTGGAAATACTCCTCCGATTCGGCAAGAGAACACGCATCGTGCGCACGGGCGGTGTCGCAAGGCTGATCCTGTGCGGCATGAGCGCATACAATTTTTTTCCTCCTGTGGAGCATGGCTAGTAATTTTGAACAGGTGTTGGAGGGCAGACAGGCCGGCTAAACATGGACTACCACACGCGGCCTGTTGCCCCTTGTGTGACCAAGATGACGCGCCGGAGAGTTGTGGCACCCTTCAGCAGTTTCCGCCTGCAGGAGCTCACGCTGAGTCCTGAGGACATGGTCTTTGCCCAATGGTGGCACAGGGCAGAGGGGAGTACAGGTGGGGGGGCTTGCATAAGGGGTTCAACACCCTAGTCATCCTTGGTGCCTGGATGCTCTGTAAGCAATGTAATGACATCGTTTTAAACAATGGCTCTCCATCTGCCCAGTGACTCCTACGAGCAGTGAATGATAGAGATACACATATGCCAGTGCTAACGGTCTGGTGGCATTATGATGAGGACATCACTTCTACAGATACAACCACACCACCTACAGCTATAGTACCATCCATTCCACCACCTGAAGCTAGGCCAGCAATTCACAAATTTTACACAAGAGATCGAAATGTGCTCCAAATCAGGAACCTTGGTGTTGAAGATAAAGATATTTGAGCTGATATTTTGTGCTGTATTTGTGGCTGTCCACAGGCAGTCACCACTTGCAGCCAGCTAGAGTATAGTAGGCTAAACTATTTGTTTGTTACTTGTTAGCTGTCCAGATTCATGGAACTGCCTCCATATTAACAGTAGTAATAGAATTAGCTGTTGCCAATACATTGTAGTAGCATGCACTGTAGCAGCAGCCATTTTGGCTATAAAAGGAGGGGTACCTCCATATGTAAGAGTTGGGTTTTGTTTTAGTTCAGTTCCTTTGGAAACTACTGCTTGTGTTGTCTCTTGTGTCGGTTAGACCAACAGACCAACCTCTACTCAAAGCCCCATCTCAATATTTCACTACATACTTGCAATTTCAGATTGCTTGCACCTTGTTCTTGCTGGTTTTCTTCCATTTCTTGCAGGAACAGACCCTAGTGGTCAGGTCAGCTTGGTTTTGGTTAGGCTGATAACATCTCAAGGGTTGGTTCAGCGGTTGCTAGGCTATTGGAACCACTTGGTCAGTAGCCTGGAACGTGTGAGTCACCCTCACAATTGGAAGGCATCTCATCTCACCGAAAGGTTGGGCCTCTAAAATTCCACATCACATTAGGAGCCAGTAGAGGGTAACTAGTAGGCTATGGTCATTCATGATTTAAAAAAGGGCGTATGTAACCTAAAACTGCGACTGCGAGAGCAGATGTAACAAACTTCATTCTCTTTCTAATGCAAAATGCAGTTCTCTTGCGTATGAAGAAAAAAATAGCATTTTGGAATATAGCAGCCACTACACAGTAGTGGTGTTTTCACAGTGAGAGCCGATATTGTGGCCCTGCCAATACTTCAAGCTGTGTGTGCAAATTTTATATAAATATCCACATTAGTTTGATATAAGAAAGACATAAATCACATAGTACACAACCACAAACATAAATTGTGAGTACTTGTAGAATTTTTTTTTTCTCAAATGGCATGGGCATGTCATTTCAAAAACAGGGAAAAAAAAAGGGTAACAGAGCACCTAAAACACAACACAAACACGCTAGTTAATTAGAACAATCATGCCACGGACAGGAGAGAGACAACCACTAGTACTATGGAAACTGGGGAAGGCAAAAAAAACTAGACTAATCCCAAGACCAAGTTTCTGATATCCCTAGCCCTGGCAGCACACCAGATGGATACTTCTCCAATCACCGTCCTGACCACCATATTCACCAATGGAAAGGCATTGTCGAAGATGCAATGGTTAAAATACTAATTGAATTACCATATGAGAATATAGAAATCAATACCAGCATATAGACTACACTAAAACCAATCCCTAAAATACTATCTGCAGTTTATAAAGTTGACTACATAATTTATATCCTTCAACTATCGCGCAAGCACTACTGCAGAAAATGTTGAACATATATAATTGTTGAAGTACCTTTCCCATGGAAGATTTCTTCTTTTTTTCTGTTTTCACACCACATGTACAAGCTTGCTGCTTTACTTCAGAAGTGGTGCTCCCATCATGATTAGTATCTTTAGCAAGTTTGCCTTTTTTCCTAGTAACCATATCAGTGCTTGCCATTTCTGACTGCCTTTTGAGTTTCTTTGATGTACTTTTGGAGTTATCTTTCTGCTCATACACCGATACAGCTGCTGCAGGTATACCAGGCTTTCCATCAGAATCATTGTCTTTGTTTTCATCCTTAATCTGAGCTGATGATTCTGAAAATTCATTAGGGGCACCATTAATAACACTATAATTAATAGAAGCAATGTCATAAAAAGGGAAAGGCAAGCTGCAGTGTGGTGCCTGCTAAGCAGTAGATGAGCCACCTCTTGTTAGAGTAAATAGGAATAGTACCACATTGTCTACCCACGTGGGGTGTTAGTCCTATGTACTCTATATAATCAGCCCATGAGGCCCAATGCAATACATCAACCAATATCCCACCAACTCTATTCTCCTTCACCACTAAAAAAGGTGAACAAAATCGTTAAAAAATATTGATGGCTGCTAATTTTGCAACACACTTTTTATGTATTTTTTGTGGGATTTCCCATGCAATGCTTATGCTTATTACAACACAAAATATTCATCACTATGCATGGAGTTAAGGAACATCATGGTGTATATTAGGCTAAATATGTTTTGTGACATCAATTGAGTTGATACTTTTGTTGAGGGACAGTACAAAATTCCAGAAATGTGGCCATTAAATTATCAGACTGCGAACATTTGAAGGACAGGGGGATGTGACGGATGGTTCTGATCCATATTTGCCCTGGATACAGGCCATCTATATATCCGAACAAACCATGTGGATGCTGGTTAATATTCCATCCAAATAGGGCCTACCTCCCTTTTTTTGTGGGTGTCTGTGTGGACTGTGGGAGGGAGGGAGGGAGGGGGGGGTGCATTGATTGATGCAACTCCATCCAGCCAGCTATTCAAGAAAGATAAAATAGTGCATTGTCCAAGTTTAATCCCTCTGAATATGTCTATAAAGTATAAACATTCCAAAACTCTGCAAATTAGTCAGAAGAGCGGCAGATGAATTTAAACGCACAAACTGAAACACTGCACCTGCTACAATACAACCATGGCATTGTTCTGACATCTTGCGATTTAGTACGAGAAGAAAATAATATGGTAATGGAACAAAACGGGTTGCATCAGAACGTAGTATTTAAAATATAACACAAACTGAATATTGTATAAGATAAGACTAACCAGATTCAACAACTGGAGATGGTTGTAGGATATTCACAGATAGATCAGCTAAAGTATGTAATGCATCTAGAGCTGATCTTTCATCTGCAAAACAAGGGCGGTTTGATGGTTAGTACTGTATGTGTAAAGAAAGCAAGAACCAACAGATCATCCTAAAACTAAATAAGCATCACACTAAAGTATTAGAGCATATGAGTGTATACCAAAACCAAATGACTAAACTAAAAAAACACTTGGGACATATTTATGGCAGGAAAAAATCAGTATGATACCTGACAAAAATGTATAGTTCTATTTATGTTTCCTGGGTTATATATGATAGTGCAATACACACATAAGACAAACAATATCCTAAAAAGAATTTGGAACGTGACAAAGATGACTCAAAACAGGTTTCCTTTATCCATCCCACAGATTGGAAGTACCCTACACTTTTTAAATGCTTGTTCACTGAAACTTTCATTTCACACTAGAAGGGAATTCTCATTCCATAATATAGGGCACATTTGCTTTAGTTCTTTGTATTTCTATTCCACGAATCGAGAAAATATTGTGCAGTACAGTCAATGAAAAGAAATTAAACAAATTCATTGCTCAATTTCAATTCATACATGACAAAGAGAATGCTGACATGTATTGTCATTTTGATATTTCAGTGCTGAATTACAGAAAACATACCATCAAAAAAGAGTTGGCGACTTCTTTTATTTGATGTGCTAGATGGCCATGCAGTTTTGCTTCCCAATGTCTCCAGCTCTGGTTCCTCTTTTGCCTTTTTCATGCTACACCCTTCTTCAGTACCACTACAAGCCTCTCTATCATCCTCAAACTGATCACCCGTTTTGCGTACAGCTTTTTTTCTCCTCTTTTGAGGCCTCTTGACTTTCTTCTGAGGCTTGCTAGATGGAGATCCTTTGTTAGCTATCAAATAGGATGCACCTTTGGTATAATCGCCAGTCTCGGCTTCCCTACTTCCCAAGCTACCTTCAGGGTAATCAGCATCCAACTGAAATCCATGCAGCTTTGAGCTTCCCATCTCTGAATCAGCATTCTGCAAGTGCCATACAGGTATCTTGATCATGCAATTACTTTACTAAATGAGTGACTGATAAAAATGGGTGGAGGCATATAATTCTAGCTTCTTACTTTTTTGTCACTACTTTTAGCAGGAGACAGGAACATATGATCACCAGATCTCCGAGGTGTATGGGAAAACTGAGGTGAGCCTCCTCTTTGATATACCTCCGCCAGAGCAAGCGCAGCTACATGAGCTCCTTCATCATCACCATTGTTAGCATCAGGTTTAGCTTGTCTATTTGATGCACCCCTGTCATCTCGATGGTACATGCTTGCAACAGGTACTCTTGGAGTCCTTTTCCCAACAGCACGTGGCCTGTTCCCTACAAATAGGTCTAGAAAGATTTCACGACATCAACCCCATTATCAAGATTTGAGGAAAGCAAAGTTGTATCATCTCTTTTAAAAAAAATGTTAAGGCAGCACTAGGCGATTCATTCGATGAAAAGCAAGTACTTCTTAACTTCAGTTAAGTAAAAAGCTCATGTTTACAAGCAATTATAAGTTCTTGATATTGAAGGAAGATAATGCAACCACATAAATCAGGTGCAAACATGAAAAGGTTTTACAGGCACGAAAAGGGAGGCAAAACAAGTGTCCTTGGTCCTTGGTTAAGAAGAAAACAAAATGAAATTGTGATAAAATTCACTTTGCTGAAAGAGACACAAATCTCATTGCAAAAAGAAAGTGCAGAGGGACTATATTGACACCAAGACTAGCCAGATTAAGGAATCAGCTGGTTTTTTGTGCTCTAGAATAAGTTGCAGAATTAATTTAAGGACAATAACTTCACGGTATTAAAAAAATAGATGATATGTTCAAGAACAAGAAAATTAGACATGGTTCGAATGCCTAGTAAATAGTAATACCAAATCAAAAAGAGATCTCGCAAGACTATAGAAGATTATGCTATCTGCATGATTGATACTTGGCAGAATCATAGTTAGCATCCAGATTGTTATCTGAAGGGTCTTATATCAGATTTATGATCATCAAAAGATATTCATATTACTGGCTTTCAAAAACAGGATAGGAAGCATAGCCATAGATTTAGGGTACTACTAACTCCATACTATTGTAAATCCAAACTCAAGATAGATGCTTGTGCAGTCAAGATGTCAATTGACTGATACTTTGCTGCCTAAAAGCCTAGTGTCAAAATGACTAGGCTGAGCTTAACAAACTAAACAGAATCCACAATTGTTTTATCTGCATTCTGGTATTGAATAGGACCGCATTCTTCTGAGCGAACTAAATTGCGTACTCCAAGTTATAGCAACCAAAGCATTTCAAAGTTGACTACGAGGTGAGTGACACAAGAGGAAAAAAACACTGATTTTCATTGGCCTGCTAGAACTAGCTCCCATAATATTGCATTTGTGGAACCAAACCATTGTTCCATACAATTCTGTATATCTCAGATTCCCACATAGCCAGGTAATATAATATCAAAGATTTTGTATGTTTTCCTAGTTGTACAAAACATCACTCCTGTCCTGTTACAAAGACCAGGCATATGTACATAGGAATATGTCAAATTACCTCCAGAACGTTTTTTCTTCAACAAAGAAAGGCATCCATAGCTCGATGAAGCAGGCTGAGGTTGCAACAGATCAGTATGATGCGTATCAGATGTCTTAGACACAGATTGAAGTTTTGCACGACCACGCTTCTGTAGCCTCCTAGAAACTTGTGGGGAATCATTGCTTTCTCGGTCACTGTTACTTCCATCCTACAGTCCATTACAGATTTCCTTGTGAGTATTTTCAATAAATGTAACTGATGCATATAGCGTTATTCTGAAATGAAATTCACGGCTGCTGAAATCACTTACCCCATCACATAAGGAGTTGATCCCAGCAAGGCAATTCGATTCATTTACTCATGTGCAACAAATAGATCGCATTTGTGTGATGCAGAACTAATTACTGACTTTGCATATAATAAAAAGCAAAACAACTGTTTTTGAGGCAGTGCTAACGTTATTACTCTTAATCCCATGGTCACAAAGATGCACACAGATAAGGAGAAAAATGTCTATTCACACGATTTTTCATATATTACAGAAAAGAATTGAAGAATATATGGAAATAGTAACCCCTATAGTGTTTGACCACTTAAATATAGTCTCACCAGAATATTGTAGTGATCGGTCATCATTGCAATTAATCCAGCAGCAGTTGCTGTTCCCTCCGGAAGAGATAAATATGCCTGGATATGCCACATAATAAATTTAGCACAATAAAGCGTATATAGGAGTATAGTTGTGAATTTGGCAGAAAAATATAAGACCAAGCAAACGAACCATTGCTACCTTGATCCATTGAACTGGTCTATAGAAATTTAGGTTATTAAATGGAATGGGAGCAGGTGTATAACATGACCAGCCCAATATTTACCTTATTCATATTGTAAAGAGCCTTCACCATGTCAGATGTTCTATCACGGATAGCACCACCAACCTAAAAAGTGAAATGAAAAATCATTAAACTGAAATAGGTATCAGAGTAGATAAATTAACTTTCTCAGGTTAACATATTGAATGTAGGAAAGTGCAACTCATATTGATGCATATCCCTTGTATCAGTTGTCTATAAAAGATTAAAAACAGACCTTTCTCCAATCTTTTCCATATTTTCTGTAGGCACCATAGAAGCGCTCGAGCTCATCTTTGCTCCACTGAGACCCAAGCATGTCTGATAACTTTTTCTTCTGCAAATGAGTTTTTCTTTTATCAGTGATCAATGACAAAGCAAAGGTACTGCTAACTACTTAAATCAATGGCAGCACCCAAAACCATGCTTGAAACCACATTTTTCCTTGAAAACATAAGACTAGAAAAAAAAACTATTAACTGATAGTCCACAGAATACTACCATGTCATATAATCACAGAGAAATAAGTTACATCCTTTGCAGAATAAGAAAAATGAAGAAAAATATGCATGTGAGAAGAAAAAATGTTGATTTTCACATGTACTTACTCGCACTTTACTTTTAGGTACACTTGTTGTATCTTTATCCTGCCAATCTTCATTGATTTTGGCATAACGCTTATTTGTGTTTCTTACTTTTCTTGCCGAAGCCATTCAAAATCACTATTCACTAATACTACCTGAAAACACAATTCACTGGACTTTATTGCTGAGCTCTTCAGTAACAAAGAAAAGGAGAAAGTCAATAGAATAATTTGAGTACAAGACTATTCCCGTACAAGTACAATCACCATAATCATGTATGCCTCGAGATTGATACAAATTCTCAAAAATTAAACCACCATCACATCTTCTAATCATTGCAATGTAGGATGGTATGTGCCTACATGTACAAATATCTTAGATTTTTTTTTTAACATTGAGAAATAGTTTACAAGCCAATAGCACAAGGATTTAGTGTGAAAGCAGGAAGGACTGTGTATAATGCATTGGATGTATCACAATGAGCCCTATAGTGATATAAATAGACTACAAGACTTGGTCAAGACGTCTCCCCGATACAGATGGCAGTACCGTGTTACAATATCCCTAACTACCAAATATACTCTTAACACTCAGCATTCATTGCATTATGGAAAATAAACCTCTAACTTCACCATTGTTACGATAACAATAACAATTAGTTGTCAAGAGCCCTACAAAGGTATGGTGTTACTTCTTCCAACACCACTAGGACACACAGAGCTGCAACAGCCCATCCTAGAGTGGTGGAAAACTGGAAACCATGACAGCGCCAAGGTTGGCTGCAGCGATGTCACCCATGGGGGGACACGAAGGAAGAAAATGTCCTCTGGGAAGAACTTTTCTGCTTTGATCTCACTATCTCAGCTTATCTGCTCAAGTAAATACCTTTTCTTTATGGGTAGGGTCTTTGCCAGCCAACTCAAAACAGAAACCTCTATTAACATCATATGAATATCGCATCGTCCACAAAGATTGGTACAATAAAACCTTTGAAGTATTATATTGTCAATGTTTGGCTTGTTTCACACTATCGCCAACCATTTCTAAACATTTTTGGAAATTGTTATTGTTATACATCTTAATGGTCGTGTGTGTGTGTGTGTGTGGGGGTATTTCATGGTAAGTAGTATAATATTTGACGCATTAATTCTCAGGACTAACAATCAGTAGATGGCTATGTATAAGTTAAAACATCAAAAGGGAAGATACCCATGCTTGGAAGGCTTTGAAGAGGGGGGGTTCATGGTAAGTAGTATAATATTTGACGCATTAATTCTCAGGACTAACAATCAGTAGATGGCTATGTATAAGTTAAAACATCAAAAGGGGAAGATACCCATGCTTGCATGCTTGGAAGGCTTTGAATATTGTTGAACCATGAAAATTCACACATCCTATCCTATTTATGGTCACTGAAGCAATAAGCACTTTCCTTTCATCAATAGCTCAAAAAATCTAGAACAGGTGGACGCTATTGCAAACCATCTCCATTTTTTTATTTAGGAATTAGGACAACCATGTGGCTCAAGCACTCAATATATATATGATGCCCCATTATTCCCAGAATACAAATTAAAGGATGCTTTTTCATAATAAACTTCATAATTCCTGCAGAAGGTGATGACATGATGCTAAAAAAAATTCTCATTTCATTTGGACCCTAATCCATCATAGTGTCCTAAGTAATTTTATTTTCAGTGAACTTTGAGTTCAGTTTCAGCATGGACAGACCAAAGATACAAGCAGCATGGAGTGTATATCAATGCTACTAAACATTAAAGATGCAATATTATTCTGGGGCTATGTAACATGTTGAACGAGACCAGAAATGAGTATAATATATTATAGAACAAGTTGGAGCTTTGGGGCTTTTCAACATGCCAGAAGAAAAACCTGGTGGTCCTTAATTGATTACCATGATTTAAGCATTGAGCTATCCCTAGTATCTTCTAGTGTGGTGAGAATGTCCCAAGGATGAATCTGCCTAATCCTAACGATATCCAATAGCATTTTTTCTCGAAAACGCAGGAGAGCTGCGTATGATTATATTAAGAAAAAAGGGGTAAGAGCCCTTACACAACACACTCGGAATCAAAACAACGATATCTAATAGCATTGACTGGCATACTATTTCAAAATCCAACAGCAGCAATATTTTGAAGGAGTAATTTTTAGCAATACGTTATTCTAACAGGGAGAGTCCCCGGAGGAAACAAAGACGTAATCGAGGTCGTGTTGTTTCCTCCCGTAAGGAAGCGAGGGAGATCGAAGCCATGACCAGCGTGATTACGAAACCCACCCGGTGAGTGGTAGATCCGCGGGCAGGAAAAGCGGGAAGGGAGGCGCAGGAGATTGGGGGGAACAGAACACTAGTGCGCGCCAAGGGGAGCGGAGAGGTGGGAGTAGGGAGAGGAGCGGGAGGTGGGAGGAGGGAGTGACCGAGGCGCGTGCGTGCAAACGTCGGCGCGCCACGCCAGAGATGGAGGGTGACTGGCGGAGTGGTGGTGCGACTAGAAGGAGGGGAGGGGAAGGTGTTGGGAAATGGCAAGGGAGGGAGGAGAGACAGGTCACAGTCGTTAGAGGTAGAGGGAAGGGGGAGAGAGAAATGGGGAAATCGCATCGAGCTACTATGTTGTACGCGTTCGGGTTCTTTTTGCACTCGCAGTCGGAGGAGAGGAGGATGCGATTTTTAGCCTATGGGTTGGGCCGTGAGCGTACCTTGCCCTGAGAGCCCACGAAGGCTTTTTGCACTCGCAGTCGGAGGAGAGGAGGATGCGATTTTTCGCCCAGTCACGGCCCAACCCACAACAACAAAGCCTTTAAGTCACAAACAAGTTGGGATAGGCTAGAGTTGAAACCCAGCAGAAGCAATCAAGGTTCAGGCACGTGAATAGCTGTTTTCCAAGCACTCCTATCTAAGGCTAAGTCTTTGGGTATATTCCATCCTTTCAAGTCTCCTTTTATTGCCTCTACCCAAGTCAACTTCGGTCTTCCTCTGCCTCTCTTCACATTACTATCCTGGCTTAGGATTCCACTACGCACCGGTGCCTCTGGAGGTCTCCGTTGGACATGTCAAAACTATCTCAACCGGTGTTGGACAAGCTTTTCTCCAATTGGTGCTACCCCTAATCTATCACGTATATCATCGTTCCGAACTCGATCCCTTCTTGTATGACCGCAAATCCAACGCAACATACGCATTTCCGCGACACTTATCTGTTGAATATGTCGTCTTTTCGTAGGCCAACATTCTGCACCAAACAACATAGCAGGTCTAATCGCCGTCCTATAAAACTTGCCTTTTAGCTTCTGTGGTACCCTTTTGTCACATAGGACACCAGATGTTTGGCGCCACTTCATCCACCCTGCTTTGATTCTATAGCTAACATCTTCATCAATATCCCCGTCTCTCTGTAGCATTGATCCTAAATATCGAAAGGTATCCTTCCTAGGCACTACTTGACCTTCCAAACTAATATCTTCCTCCTCCCGAGTAGAAGTGCCGAAGTCACATCTCATATACTTAGTTTTAGTTCTACTAAGTCTAAAACCGTTGGATTCCAAAGTCTCCCGCCATAACTCCAGTTTCTGATTCACTCATGTCCGGCTTTCATCAACTAGCACTACATCGTCCGCGAAAAGCATACACCAAGGGATGTCCCCTTTGTCCCTTGTGACCTCATCCATCACTAAGGCAAACAGATAAGGGCTCAAAGATGACCCTTGATATAGTCCTATCCTAATCGGGAAGTCATTCGTGTCTCCATCACTTGTTCGAACACTAGTCACAACATTGTTGTACATATCCTTAATGAGCCCGACGTACTTCGTTGGGACTTTATGTTTGTCCAAAGCCCACCACATAACATTCCTTGGAATTTTATCGCATCCTCCTCTCCTCCGACTGGATGGGTTCCCGAGCAAGGTACAGTCACGACCCAACCCATGGGCTAAAAATCGCATCCTCCTCTCCTCCGACTGCGAGTGCAAAAAGAACCCAAATGCATACAGCAAAGCAGCTCGATGCAATTTCCCCATTTCGCTCTCCTCCATCCCTCTACCTCTAGCGACCGCAAACTCTCTACTCCTCCCTCGCCATTTCCAAACACCCTCCCTCCCTCCTAGGCTCACTCACCACCACCGCCCTTTGCCAGAGCCCTCCATCTCGGCCAGCAAGGCATGGCGACATCTGCTGCGTGCACCTCACTCACTGCCTCCTACCTATCCCTCCTCCCACCTCTCCGCTCCCCTTGGCTCGCACAAGTGTTCTGTTCTCCCAAATCTCCCGCACCTCCCTTCTCGCTTCCCTCGCCCGCGGATCTACCACTCATTTGGGGGGGTTCATAATCATCTTGGTCATGGCCTCGAGCTCCCTCGCTTGCCATGACGGGAGGCAACGACATGACCCCGATATGAGTGGTGGCCCTGGGGCAACCGTGTCTTCGCTCCCGGCAGGGCCGCCGCCCGAGGATTCTAATCTCTGGCCCCGTGATTCCCTTCCTCGCCTGTTGTTGAGGATCAAGTCCTCTCCTACTAAGACCCTACTGCCTCGCTTCACGCCAACCCCAACCCTCAGTTTTTTGTGCCGTCGCGTGTGTTACCCAAATTCATGGTTGCTTGTTTGTGCGGGACCATGGCTGGTATTTGTTCTAGGTCATTGAGTTTCGCATTATGGGGATAAGGATAATTCAATTTTTTCCTACTTGCTTTGCAAGGTAGCACTTCTTGATATCTTTTATTACCGCTTCTTGGCGTATTTTTGGTAGGAAGCATTGTGTTGTGCATTTTAGCTTCTAATGGTTACACTGAGCCAACCTCGGCTACTTTTGTCATGGTTTCAGATTTTCCACCATTACTCTAGGATGGGTTGTTGCTTGTTGTGTGTGTCCTAGTGGCGTTGGAAGAAGTAACACCATACCTTTGTAGGGCTCTTGACAACTAATTGTTTCTTTGTTATCGTAACAATGGGAGGGTTATTTTCCATTATGCAATGAATGTTGAGTGTTATGAGTATATTTGGTAGTTAGGGATATTGTAACCCCGTACCGCCATGTGTATCGGGGATGTTGTTAGTTACTAAAAATGACAGCCATGTAATGATAGTTCTCAATATGTTTATTGAAGTATTTCGCCATCTGAAAGAATGTACAAGACCGAAGGGCGGGCCTAGTGCAACCGGTAGAGTCTTACCGCTTTGTGGACCTAGGAAGGTCCGGGTTCGAAGTCATGATCTCCTCGCATTGCACAGGCGAGGGTAAGGCTTGCCACTGACACCCTTCCCCAGACCCCGCACAGAGCGGGAGCTCTCTGCACTGGGTACGCCCTTTAAAGAATGTACAAGGCCAAGTCACAAGTCACACAGGAAAAAATTCACCTCAATATCAAGTCAGAGATGAGCACCATCTAATTTTCTACAAGTAAACTGATTATGAATAGGTAAAGCAACTTGTTATATATAATTATATATGTTCTTAGAGAACATCTCTAGACAATGGGGGTAACATCAGTTCACTTGTGACATGTATATATTTTGTTATTTTACTTCTTTGACCATGTTTACAGTTGTTCTCTGTGTCGTGGGCAAGGTTCAAAAAGGCGCTAGGCAGTCTCTAGGCGGTGACCCACCGTCTAGAGCCTATAGGCGTTTTGCTAAATTTGCATTTATCATGTATAGATGAATAAATATCTAAATATAATAGCTGAAATGTTGAACAAATAGAAGTTCCTACAGCAATAGAAGTGGTATCTTGTCAAAAATAGAAGTTCTAGGGACTAGAATGTAAGAAATCAGTAAAGGAAATCATAGCAAGAAAATTTGCGAGAATTTTAACAAAATGGAGGGCAAGTGCCAAAATCGCTCAGTCCTACCCACATCCCAAGCTGCAGCCCGAGCGGTCGTCGTCTCTTTCCGTGACCTTCTCTCGGTGGAGGGAGGCAGGCAAGCCAGGCAAGCCCATGCT